GCACCCTACACTTGGTCAAAACCTACACGGCACAACTGCCCCAAAGCCTCAGGCCCCCACAGGAACCAAAGGGCTGGCCACTACCTCCCGGTGAGGAGACACACAAGACCTGAAGGACCGGCTCCCAAAGCAGTTTGATACTTTCGACGACTTAGATACGCGCTCTCCTACACTTCAAGCCAGATACTCAGTCCCACATAAATCCGCCACATAGGTGCAGCTTTCATGCCAAACCAAAACCGCAGGCCAAGCTGAAAAGGACTGAGAAAGGCTGGGTCATACGAAAAGTCTCCCATCACACGGCGGACGGGTGCAGCTCTATCACAGTTAAAGACGGCCCGTTCAGGATGTGTCCGGATCCCAAGCAGCTAAGCACATAATGTTTTCTAAAGATCCCCACTCTTGAGGAGCTCAAGCCAGAATTTGCACTGGAAAGGTTCTCCTCCAAGCTAGACGTCAACAGCAGAGTATTGGTCTGCTCACCTAGGGCAGTCTGAAAAAACTGACAACATACAATTTGGTTGTTAACAGCTTTCGTCGCCCATTCATCGGCTTATCAGTAAGCCAAGATAATGGTCCCAAAAAATATTGATGGCAAAATAAGCTAGATGCCTTGATGCATTGGAACAATCACCGGGACGACATTGCAGTGTTCGGTCTCCCTTGAAGAGCATGACGAGCGGGCCGAATGTCTCATAGCCCTGATGGAAACTGCTGGTTCCTTAGCATAGTCAACAATGTCTCACACTGTACACCCCAAATTGCGCAGACAAAGTTACTCCCTTCAGCGATCTTCTTCGAAAAGATGTACCATTTCTCTGGGAAGAGGACCATCAAGCTTCTTTTACAACCTTAAACACTCCATCTGAACTCAGTCCTGGCTACGATTCTCCCGACACACAGGTATAGAAACAATCCTCAAAGTAGATGCATCTGAAAGAGGATTGGGCAACACCCAGGAAAGTAAACCCATCACATTTTCCTCGAAGAGCCTATAGATCCTCTTCCCAGAGCATATTCTCGAATATCGAGAGGGAAGCTGTGGCACTGCTGCAACTTCATTCGGCTCCAACTTCATTGTTGTCACTGACCATTAAAACCATTGGTTACGATCTGGCGCAAAATCCTAGCCAGTACACCACACCGCTTGCAGCGTCTTAAGCTACAAGGATACAACTTCGACGATGTCTACAAACCTGGTGCTATGATGGTGATCGCAGATGCACCCGGCAGATTGCCCAACCCCTCCAAGCTCGACAACGAGACATGTGATGAATCTGTAACTGAGATCCACTGGAATGGGCACCCGACTGTAACTTATGTTACATTTTTTTGTCCACCTATCTTTGGAATAAGTTTAAACATTTAAGATACCAATAATCAATTACGAAAACTCTTTTGGCATAGTATTTGAACCATTCTCTCTGACTTAAGAACCAAAACTCACAATACCACTTACGGTTTGCATGTTAAAACAAGGTGCCAAAATGATTACCCCAAATCCATGATTTAAGCACCAATTTTGTTTTTGTTTTACCAAAAAGGGTACTTTTGGGCAAAAAAACACCCTGTACTACATTCCATCCCACTGACATACCACTCAAATGAAAGATCTTGTTGTTCCCTTTAATTTGATACCACATTTGTTGTTGTAATGCTTGTCGTTCTGAAGATATTATCAATTTATATGTTTTTCAAGTGTACGCATTTAAGATACTAATAATCAATTAAAAAAATAATAATCAATTGCAAAAACTCTTTTTGCATAGAATTTGAACCTTTTCCTCTGACTTCAAAACAAAATCTCACAATAACACATACGGTTTGCATGTTAAACAAGGTGCCAAACAAAAATACATGAATTTAGCCAAAATCAGGGTTTTTTTACCAAAAAAGTGCTTTTTGGCCCCCAAAACCACCCTTTACTACATTCCACACCCCTGACATACCACTCAAATGAAAGATCTTGTTGTTCCCTTTTATTTGATGCGACTTTTGTTGTTGTGATGGTTGTAGTTCAGAAGATATTATCAATTTATATATATTTTCATGTAATAATTAGCTGATGAAGTCATAATGACGTCATACATGCCCTTCCCATCATCCAATTTTTTGCGTCCGTCTTTTTTTCGATAAGGTATACCATGGAGATGCTTTGGTGAAAAAAATGGTGCTTTTGTCCACCGTGTCACGATCCTTGGCATTTTTGTCACTAAGGTACCTCACTAAACCCACAATGCTACAAACTCACCAAGACGAACAATTATCGTTGACGGTATGAATAATAGCTATAATAGTTAAAGTCGTACTTTAACCACCATAAAACAACTATAATTACAACTATAACTCCAACTAACTATAATTACAATAACAATAATGCTAACTAGACATATGTGGCAAACACAGGGCTGTTTCAGTTAACTTTTTGTGACAGGTCACCAGTAAAGTTTCAAGTATAAGTTCCATCCAGGAAGGATATGTACTTCTGTTTTTAATAACTGGTAGCATATAATATGTGATTACATTCTCATAGGGCTTTGAATTATGACATCATAATGACATCAATATCAATTTTCATCTATAATTATTTTTGTTGTTGTTAAATAACAACTTTAAGCATACATCGTTGAAAGCAAGTTCACATCTTTCACCAATTTTTAATTATAAGGCACTTCCGGTTTCAACCGGAAGCAAGGGTCACATGATTTTACACATATCAAAAATGAAAACCCTGGATTATTCTATCAATTCCCGCAAAAATCATGTGCAAGTCTCTCACGGTTGATTTATATTGATTTTTAAAGATTAAATCTATTAATCATTAACCTGATGTCACGTAACCCATGATGCCGTCATCATGGTGCACTTCTATTTTCATCTATAACACATCCCAGTCTAGGTACATACCAACTTTCAACCCAATCAGACCTGTAGTTTTGTAGATATTGGCCGTTAGAATGTGCACATTAAATATGACGTCACTTGTCAACTGATGACGTCATCGTGACGTCACGTAAATTTTCATCTATAACACATCCCGGTTTACGTACATGTACATACCAAGTTTCAACCCAATCGAACCTGTAGTTATGAAAATATCAGCCTTCAAAATATGCACCTATATTGTGACGCTTGAGTTACCTGATGACGTCATGATGACGTCAATGTTCAGCGCACATCTTCAGATGCTGGTGTAAGTGTGTGCCGAGTATAAAGTCAACCGGATTGAATTTAGTGCCCAAAGTGCCTTCTACTGTGAAAACATGTACGAATGCTATGGGGAATGGCTGAAAAAGAAGAATAAAATTTTTTTAAAAATTAACGAAAACAAAGAAGGCTGTTTCGGCTGGTTGCTGAAACAGCCAATAATTACCCTGGATTGGACATTTGGGAGACATCCCCATAGACTTGTGCACAAAATTTTTCAAACTTAAATGTGCCCTAACCCAATATTCCCTTGTCCTTTTCCATGAATTTCGGTATTTTTACTAAACAATATAACCTAATTGCAACGATAAATTTGTGCCTCTAAAGGGGGCTGTGACATTAGGGAGATGAGATTTGAAGGTTTGCATGTTGGAAAGATACTAAGACGAGATAAGTTTGCGTTAGCACCATGTGAATAAATCTCTTTTGTGAGTATATGTGGTTCTGAAGAGAACCGGAGGAACTCAACGTTTCGAACAGTATGCTCTGCCCGTCGTCAGGAGAATGAGGGATTGGAACGATGATGCGATGTTATAAGGATGGGTGTGGTGAGGCGTGGGAAGGATGCAAACTGGTGAAGCTCGAAACCGGTAAAGCTGAGAAGGATGCAAGTTGACTGAGGGATGCTGGATGATCATTGGAGCGTGTCAGTACACAGTGAGGGGGCAAAGGGAAGGAGCTCAGCATATAGGTGACCCATAGGCGAGAACTGAAACTAAGTTGTCCTAGGGTATAGGAGACCCATCGGACTTGGACTTCAGGATGGGCCGCCAGATGGGAAACCGATGTGTTGGGGAACATGAGGAACATATGCTTGATGATCTCGATGGCTTCTCTAATGCATCGGGGGTACCAGTTCTGCTTGGCTCCAGTTGATCGGGTGGTCCTCAGTGTGGGAGTGTTTGACGATGGAAGATTTCTCGAAGTCTCCCTTCCTGCCATGGACTTTGTGCTCATTGAGTATGGTGGGGAGGTCCCTGCCAGTCACGCCGATATACACTTTGCCACATTGACATGGAATCTTGTACACCCCTGGTCTGCATTCTGGGTCACACCGATCCTTGTGTGAAGTCAGCAGGTTCTACGTCTTCAGAGGGGCTGTGTGGAATTCCATGCTTTTGGAGGATGTGTTGGATGTGATAAGAAGTGGTGCCTAAGTAGGGAGGGTGATGGAACTATGGGCCCTAACTAACATCAAGAAATGAGATGTTGCCATCTCTTTCTTGTTCCATGGTGAACTGGATCCTGCTGTGAAGAAGTGGTGCCCGCCCGACGCTCACACAGAGACGCTATGGCTTTGTGCATATTAACAAATATACATGTATATATACGTGTTTGAACCAGTACGTACACATGGTGTGTCCCATCCACGGGGCTTTCAAAAGTGGTAAAAAAGCACCCTCTCTTGCTGGCACACAGAGACCATAGACCTTATTCATGAGGAAGCCTTTTATAACTATTTTACTATTTTAATTGGAGTGCATTCCAAACCTCACTTTCAATATTTTTTAACTGTGGCTTAAAACATTAGGTATGTTTAATCACAAATTTAAGTTATTCGTCAAAGCAGACTGGTACATGTATTAATGTGTACTGAACTTTTATTTCATTGCTTTTGTTTCTTCTCACAAGTTTCAAAAATGAAGACTTTACCGCGTTTTCAATTTGATATGGCTGATCCGTAAATGAAGTCTATATTAACATCTAATTCTGAAAAGTCCTCGGGCAAAATTTTGAGTGTTTTTCTGCATGAAAACCAAATCCTGACACTTAAAGAATATTTACAGAATATTTTGCTTTTAAAACTTCAAACAATGTTGAAATAAATTTCGCAAATGGTGACCCTCATGAAAAGAGGGTCGAAATTGTGCCCTCAAGTGTCCGCTTTCCGGTTATGAAAGAATTATTGCTGTAATAAACCAGTCTCTAGCGACTGGTTAGCGCACAGAAGGGTTGATTGTCACTGTTTGTGCTTGTCATAGGCTGTCACTGCAATTATCTGGTATTCGATTCATATCAAGATGGCATAAATTATTTCTCTTTTACATGGATTCAACAGGGATGCATTCTTCATGGGAGCAGACATGGAGATAGAGTCTCTCCAAGACGATACAGAAAACAGACAGGTAAAAAGTTGATTTTCTATTTATTTATATACATTTACATTTTTTGTTTCTCTTGCCATTTAAAAAAAAAAAAATACCCAGAGGGAAGAAATTGCATGCATAAATTGGTATGCATGATAATTAGTATACATTTTCTGAAGTAGGGGATGGTATTAGAATTAGTTGGCCCTCTAAAAACCAATGGTAATTGTATGTTCCATTTTTAGGTCCCTTACAATTGGTCTTAAAACAAAACTATTACTTCAAGTCATAAAAGATGTACTGTACATGCTATTTTTAACTTTTAATTCAAAGAAATAGATAATGGGTCGTATGTATAAAAACTAGCGAATGCTAGGAAGTTAAAGCAAAAAGTAAAAGCATTTACTGTGGAGTATAAGCATTAAGTAAAAATCAATGCTTGATTCTGTATGAATAAAACTTTTCCTTTAGTGTTCAGCATTTACTAGACAACAGGTAGCACATGCTTCTTACTGTAGGATTGCTTTCATGGACGAATGGTTGTCAACAATAGGGTCTCTTTTTTTTTGAAGGAACTGCCACACACACGTAGGGTTTACATGCAGGGTAATAGTCCAATTCAAGGTGATGCATACAGTACATGTAGTATAGGTTTTCCCGCACATTTTAAAACTGTTTTCATTCAAATTCATAAACGGTTTACTTCAAATTCGTCTTGAAAATTCATGATCTTACATACCCCATGTTCAATTTTGTCTTTGGTCGCTCATTTTAGACAATTCAGTTTCGTCGTCTGCAGTTGTCGAACGTACGAATCAATTTCGTCGTTTTGCAATCAATGTTATATACATTTCATTCAAATTCGTCTCATGATTGTATGCTATCAATTTTAGAGGGGGGTGGGGGTTATTGGTAATGGGCAAATGATGATTCTTTGAGTCAAAACAATTAATACATATATTTCTTGGAAATAACAGATTTCCTTTCTCAATATTACTCCAGATTCTCCTGGTGAGGTGATTCATTTGGACTTTTCCCCCTTTGGTTTGCCATGTTTTTTGGTAGGTATATATCAGAAGAGCTTTTTAATACCACTTTTACTAACTGTTTTCCTGTGGAGGAGATTTTATGTGGTGTACGATACGTAAAAAGTAATATATGTAATGTATGGATAGACAAAAAAATGGTAGTACAGGTAGTCATTACCTCAGCCGAGAGGCTCGAAGGGTATTGTCATCACCTACGGCGTCTGTCCGTATGTCTGTCCGTTCTGACCAGACCACCCTTGTGGGGTGATGTTCCTTTCAGAACACATCACCCCACTTTTTTACACAATGGAAAAACATCACCCCAGAAGGGAATCTTTAGAAAAAGGGACAATGGGAACACAATGCTATCACCCCACAAGTCCGTCTGGCTAGAACGCCCGTCCTGACCATACCACCCTTGTGGGATGATGTTCCTTTCAGGACACATCACCCCACTATTTTTAAAATAGAAAAACATCACCCCAGAAGAGAATCTTTAGAAAAAGGGATAATGGGAACACAATGCTATCACCCCACAATTCCGTCTGGCTAGACCGTCCGTCCGTCCGTCCGTCCGTCCGGGCAGCTTAGTTTGCGGATGATAACTTAAGTTAGAAATGTTGTTTGGGATTGTAACTTCGGTAGGGGGTTGCCCTTAGGAGTAGGCAAGTTGGGAATGGTTTTGAGGTCAAAAGGTCAAAGTTCAAGGTCACCGTGGTGAGTTAAAGGTAAATGGTTTCCGGATGATAACTTGAGTTAGAAATGAGATTTTGGTGTCTAACATTGGTAGGGGTTGCCCTTGGGAGTAGGCAAGTTGGGATTGGTTTTGGGGTCAAAGGGTCAAAGGTCAAGGTCACCGTGGTGAGTTAAAGGTAAATGGTTTCCGGATGATAACTTGAGTTAGAATTGAGATTTTGGTGTTTAACTTTGGTAGGGGGTTGCCCATTGCTACAGGCATGTTGGGATTGGTTCTGGGGTCAAAGGTCAAGGTCACCATGTTGAGTTAAAGGTTAATGGTTTCCGGATGATAACTTGACACTCTGGTTGAGGGGTTTCAACAGCAATGCTGTTATTTTCTGATTTTTATTTTTGGCTTTTTCACATAGTTGAGAAAAAGCCTTTGCTTTTGTTAAGATTTTCTTTTACTTCTTCTTTTGTTCATTCCAAATCCCATAGAATGTATACACTTTTTTCTGATCAGGACTTGGGACATAAAACACAGTCATGTCTTTGCCTTAATGTAAAAACAATTCTTATCCCTCTGGCTGTAAGCCAGAGGGGGATATTGCGATAGCAGATTTCTTCTGTGTGTATGTATAGTGGTGTTCCCCAGGCGCGGTTCTACGGGGGGGCTTTAGCCCCCCCAAAATAAATTCCGTAAAAAAAAAAAATTGCATTAGCAAAAAGAAGGATTGTGATGTACATGCGAACGGTCTCCCTAAAAAAAATAGTCGTGACAAGGGTGCATTAGTTAATATAGTGTCAATGATTTTAGGATTTTATGGGCGCTCCCCATTGAAAATGGCATGAGGCCTCTCCCCCCCCCCCCCCCCCCAAGTGTCTGGAAAAAATAACCGGTCTACATTTCAGCACGCCTCCCTGAAAAAAATTCTGGATCCACCCTGCTAGCCCCCCCAAAATATTGGTTCTAGAACCGTGCCTGGTGTTCCCTAACATGGCGCACTTCGACATTTACACTGACATTTCTCATGTACTGCTGCAAAACTTCATTGACAAACTTAAAATTCATGCAGTGAAATACTGGTACTTTTACCTTATTAATGCTTGTTATTTAGTCTCTGTCGGCTGAGTGTTCCCCAACGTGGCGCACTTGAATAAATCTCGGAAAATTCCAAATTAACATTTGAGAATTTCTGTAAAGTTGATAAATTCTGATGAACCAATACCTCTTCTTACATGACCAACTAGAAGTTTGTCAGAAAATTATTTGCTTATTTTTGGGGGACGTTTTTAAAGGGTTCACTGTGCACTTCGAAATAAAATTGGAAAATCACGCCGAAATATATTTTTGAAACGGATATGATATATATGATATATATATGAAACGGATAGATAAACTCGTGATTTGTGAACGGGAGTGTTTAGAAATTGAAATGTCACTTTCTGTGAAATTTTAGTTCAAACTTTTGCTGTAGGTAGGCGCTACAGGGGAAAAATCAAAGTGCGCCACGTTAGGGGCCGTGCCAAGTTAGGGTACATTAACAATATGTTACTGTGTATGGGTGTCTGTATGCATGTATGTGTTCATCTTTTCAAACCGCGGACGACAAATACCAGAGAACAAAAGAGAACAATATCGTTCACGATTCCCAGCATACGTCCACGATTAGGGTCTTGTACAAACAAAAGAGGGACAATAGGACGTCCACGATCAATGGTGAATACACATTTGTGTGTATACATGTTCTACATAACCTCCGAGGACAGACACACAAAGGGAGAAGAAAGGATCCTTTCAGTCTTCGGGTGTTAGGTCTTTGGTTTTAAACGGTCCTCTGTTGTAGGTTCGTGTGCTTAGTCTATGTTACAGGGTTATATTAAAGGGACAAAGGGAAACACAAAGCATTGTCCTCAGGAGAATAGTTTTCAAGAGTAAGTTTGGGTGGGTGAGTTTGTCTTACATACGCAGTGTGGACTTCCGAACAAAAGACGTCCACATAATGTAGGTAGCACCGACGTTGTGTGGACTTGCCCCACGTCCACACAGTGTTTCCCCATTTCTGGAAAACAGGTTTAGAGGCATTTTTGGGTTAGGTTTATCTGTAGCAGAATGAAGAGAAACACTAAAGGAATCATAGAAAAAAATTGGGTTGAAAGAGTTTTCACAGTTTGAGAAAAATGAGTTTTTTCACTGGTTTTTCTTAACTACACGAAAGCAATGGAAAGTCCACACTAGTCATGTGAAACAAGTATGGGTGAGTTTGTGTGAGTTTGTCTTACATTCCCTATGTGGACTTGTGAACAAAAGATGTCCACATAATGCAGGTTGTGTTAACGTTATGTGGACTATGCCGTGTCCACATAACGTTTTGCCCTTTTCTGGAAAACAGTTTAGAGGCATTTTTGGGTTAGGTTTATCGGTAGCAGAATGAAGAGAAACACTATAGGGAATCATAGAAAAAAAATTGGGTTAAAAGAGTTTTCACAGTTTAAGTAAAGTTATTTTTTGTACCGAGTTTTCTTAACTACACGAAAACAAAGGAATGTCCACATAGCGTATGTAAAACAAGTGTGTGTGGGGGCTCTTGTATTGTATTACAGACAACAAAAGGACAGACAACAAAAGGAGCACAAAGGAGCCTTTGACCCTCGGACGACGGTGCCTATTGTTAAAACCGGTCCTCGATCGTACGGTTATGTGCTTAGTCTATGGGAATGTGTTATATTAGAGGGACAAAGGAAAACACAATAGTTGACCTCAGGCGTATAGTAAAAAAAAGACTGGGGGTGGGTGTGTGTTCCTGCATGGCATTACGCCTGAGGACAGACAACAAAAGGAGCACAAAGGGGCCATTGATCCTTGAAGGAAGGTGCCTATTGTCCTCGAACGCAGGTTTGTGTGCTTAGTCTATGGGAGAGTGTTATATTACAGGGACAAAGGAAAACACAAAGCCAATCCTCGGAAGCATAGCAAAAAACGACTGGGTGTGTGTGTGTGTGTGTGTCCGGACAAATCTTGTCAGCGCGATAACTTGAGAAATACTTAACATATGAACTTCAAATTTGGTTTGTGTATTGTTCTTGGTAATCCTAAGAAGCCTATTGCATTTGGGGCCAAAACGTCAAGGGTCAACGTCACAGTGGCTGAAACGATAATTTTGTCAGCGCGATAACTTGAGAAATACTTTACATATGAACTTCAAATTTGGTTTGTGGATTGTTCTTGGCAATCCTAAGAAGCCTATTTCACTTGGGGCCAAAAGGTCAAGAGTCAAGGTGACAGTGGCTAAAACAAAAGAAATTTTGTCAGCGTGATAACTTGAGAAATACTTTACATGTGAACTTCAAATTTGGTTTGTGGATCGTTCTTGGTAATCCAAATAGGCCTATTGCATTGGGGGTCGAAAGGTCAAGGGTCAAGGTCACAGTGGCTAAAACAATAGAAATCTTGTATTTTTTCTAAGATCACAGGGATTAATTCATATAAACCCTACAGAAGACACTAATGCTGTCAATGAACGTTCCATGTGACCAAGGTATACATGTAAGTTGATGTTAAAAGAGTGGTGTTATGTCATGGGAACAGTCACGGTTGCAGGGCATTTGTGTTTGTAAACACACCTGACTTGTTTCCAATAGGTTTTGTACACGTTTTTCTTCAAACCATACACTTTGGCACTTTCATATGCCTGAAACTTCAGATATATAACTTCAGACTTGGGACACACTAAGACCAGCAGCCGAAGATGGTCCTTGATGATGTGTTACAGATGGAAATTGAAGTAACGTCATCATGACGTCATCACATTTCATTTGACATCACATTGAAAGAGCATTTTCTAAGGCCTATATCTACAGAACCATAGGTCTGATTGGATTGTTACCCATACCTGGATGTGTGACAGATGAAAATTCAAGTGATGGCATCATCAAATGTCATGTGACGTCCATTAAATGGGCACTTTTCTATTAAAGGCCTACCAGTATATCTACAGAACTATAATGCTTGATTTGGTTGTAACTTGATATGTACGTATAATGTGCTGTTATAGATGACATTTGTAGTGACGTCACTAATTGTTCATCATGTGCACGGAATATTTCAAATATCCGAAACAGCTTGTGTTTGTCCACAAACACATTTCTAGTTTTGTTTGTTTGTTTTTTTGCTGCGTGGCAACCCGTGGTCCGAATGTTATGTTTTGGGTATTAAAAGATGCGCAAGACTCAAGGCTAAAAAAAGTCAGAACAGCTCAGGTCGCAAAACAAATCTACAGTTTGTGTGGGAATGAGAAAATCTGGGATAAAAACTCCAAAAATTCTGCATGAGAAAAAAAACATAAGAAACAGCC